GATTGAATCACTATGCTGTACACCAGAAATGAACAGAATATTGTAAATTGATTACATTTCAATTTTTTAAAAAAAGTAAAAACATAACACTACGGAAAATCATCAGTTCAAAAAGGAAAGCAGGAAGAGAGAAGAAAGGAGCAAGGGAATGACAAAATAGCTAGAAAACAATAAAATGACATTAGTAAGTTCTTACTTATTAATAATTACTCAAAATGTAAATGGATTGAATTTCTCAATCAAAAGACATAGAGTGGCTAGATAGATTAAAAACAACAAAAACATGATCCAAATACGTGCTGCCTACCATAGGCTTACTTCATCTAAAAGGCACACACAGGCCAAGTGAAGGGATGGAAAAAGATATTCCATGCAAATGGGAACCCAAAGAGAGGAGGGGTAGCTAGACTCAATACCAACAAAATAGACTTTAAGCCAAAAATAGTAGTAACAGACAAAAAAGGTTATTATATAATAATAAAGGGGTCAATTCATCAAGAGTATCTAACAATTATAAATATATATGCACTCTCAACATCAGTGCAATGAAATATAGGAAGCAAAACTAACAGCTCTGAAAGGAGAGAAGACAATAAATAAAATAATAGTAGAGGAACTCAATACCTCACTTTCAACAATGGACAGATCATACAGACAGAAAAACAACGTGGAGATGTTGGACTTGAACCAAACTTTAGACAAAATGAACCTAACAGACATATATAGAACGTTCCATCCAACAGCAGCAGCACACGTGGACCATTCTTCAGCTTACATTACATAAAAGATCATAAAACAAATCTTGGCAAATTTAAGAAGACTGAAATGAATTGAGAACCCAGAAATAAACCTTTGCACATACAGTCAACTAATACTTGACAAGGGAGCTGAGAATACTAAATGGAGGAAAGGGTAGGGTCTTCAGTATATGCTATTGGGAAAACTGGATAACCACTGGATAACTGGATAACCAGTAAAATGAAATTGGATTCCTATCTTAGACCACTCACAAAAGTTAACTCAAAATCAGTTAAAAACTTAAACATAGAAACAAAACCTGTGGGAAAAAAACACACAAAAAATAGGGGAGAAGCCCCTTGTTACTGGTCTTGGCAACAATTTTTTGGATACAACACTGAAAGCACAAGCAACAAAAGCAAAATTAATAACTATGTCAAACTAAAAAGTTTTGCACAGCAAAGAAACCATCAACAAAATGAAAAGGCAACCATCGGAATGAGAGAAGATATTTGGAAATCATATATCCAATAAGGAATTAATATTCAAAATATACAAAAAGACTCATATAACTCAATAGCACTAAAATAATCCAATTAAAAATGAGCAGAGGTTCTGAATAGACATTTTTTTCAAAGAAGACTCACAAGTGGTCAATATGAAAACATGCTCCACATCATTAATCAAGGAAATGCAAATCAAAACTACAAGTGTCACCTCACACTTGTTAGAATGGCTATAGTTAGAAAGACAAGAGGTAAGTGTTGGTGAGGACGTGGAGAAAAGGGAAATCTGTGCACTGTTGATGTGAATGTAAATTAGTGCAGTCACTACGGAAAACAGTATGTATGGAGATTCCTCAAAAAAAAAAATAGAACTATCATATGACCCAGCAATCCCATGTCTGGGTATATATCAAAAAGAAATGAAAACAGTATCTCGAAGAAACATGGGCACTCCCATGTCCATTACAGCATTATTCATGCTAGCCAAGATATGGAAACACCCTAAGTGTCCGTCGAAGGGTGAACTGATAAGGAAGATGTGGTACATACATCCAATGGAATATTATTCAGCCCTGATAAAGAAGGAAATCCCACCATCTGGAACAACATGGATGAAACTTGAAGGCATGGTGCTCATTCAGATAAAGACAGACACTGTATGATCTCACTTTATGTGGAATCTGAAAAAGCAGAACTCACAGAAACCAAGAGTAGAGTGGTGGCTGGGGACTGGAGGAAATGGGGAGATGTTGGTCAAGGGCAGAGTCTTCTAGTTATAAGATGAACCACTTCTGGGGATCTCATTTACAGCATGATGATTATAATTAGTGTATTATATACCTGAAAGTTGCTAAGAGAGTAGATCTTAAGTGTTCTTACCACAAAAAAGATATGGTAATAATTACATGAGGTGATTTAGATATTAGCTAGCTATGGTGGTAATCATGTTGCAATATATGTGTATCAAATCAACAAGTTTTACTCCTTAAACTTACACTCCTTATGTGTCAATTACACCTCATTAAAACAAAACAAAAAAATCAGTGTGTCTTTGGGTAGGTCATTTGTCTTATGTGAATCTCAAAATTTAGTTTCTGCATCTAGAAAATTTAAAGAGTTATTTTTATCATTATTTTGAACATTCACACACTTGCCAGGCACAGTCCTATTCACTTTACATGTTTTAATCCACTTAATCCTTAAAATAACCCTTTGGAGGCAGATACTATTATTCTTCTCTTTTTACAGAAGAACTGAGGCACACACATAGGTAATATATAAATCACCTTAGCTTGTGAATGGCAGAACTGGAACTGAACCCTGATTGTCTAGAGATAGCAATTCCCACTCTGCTCATCTTGAGAAGGCTCCTTCCTTTCTTATTTATCCTTCACTTACTCTTATCCTCATCTTAGATGACTGCTGTGATATTAAGTGTGCTATTTTCTGTAAAGCACTCCAACTAGGCATGGTGTGTGGTAGCTGCTCTGGAAAGGTCTGCTTTTATCACTAGGGTTGGTGCTGGGCTGAACCCAGTGCCCACCCGGAGGCTAACTGAGTCAGGGTGGTCCCTGAGGAGGCCAGTTTCAACCTTGAAAGTACAGCCCAGTCCCTGGGGCAATAAGAAAGGCCGAGACCTAGTCCCAGAGGAGGGCCCAGAGGAAGTAGTCAGTATGCTGTGGACCTAGAGAGGAACATAAATGAGTCAGCAGAAATCAAAGGAAGGCTTCTCAGAGGAGGCAGGTGACATGTCAGATTAAAACAATACCAGCAAACTCTCACCTGGTGCTTAGTATGCACCAGGCCTCTCGCGGGCACTTCACACTTACTAGTGCATTTACTCCTCCCAGATGGCATCATTACCACCCCCATTTTACAAGTGAGGAAACTGTGGCACAGAAGGGTTAGGAAACTTGCCTAGGTCACAAAGCCCATCACAGCACAGAGTAGAGAAACCTCATTGGTTCATACACGCACCACCATCCCAATTCTGCCAACTCTGTGTGCTGCTTGTATTAATATTTACTTAATATTTAAATTAACTCAGTTTTTACCTAAATAAGTGTAAAATAAACTTTTTCAATCGTCACTGGAAAATCAGTATAGTTAGAAAATAAATATCATGAAAATAAACTATTCTTACATCCTCTCTAGATTCAACTACCTGCTAACAGCTTTGAATTCAAGGCCTATTCTGTTGAAGGGGAGATGAGCAAGTCTTGAGAAGAATCAAAGATATACTAACACTAATCTGGGACTTTCTCTTTGGTGTAATCAGAAGGATTTAAAGAGAAGTAAAACTTTGCTCACCATGTGATAGAAACTGATTTAGGGACCTATTCCTCATCCCCTAAAATCTCACTTGTGGAAACTGCGGCAATGGTTAAGAGTACACACTCAGAAGACAGACTTCCCCACGTCACAGCTTGCTGGCTATCCTGTCCCGGGCACATAATCCCTCTAAACCTCTGTTTCCTCATTGCTAAAACAGTAGCTATAAGGACCTTGACTATAAATGAAAGAATGAAGGTAAAGCACAAAATCTAATACATAGTAAAATGAATGCTGAATAAACATAAGCCGTCATCATTACCATTATTTGCACGTAAGTCTCTGGACATTTAAAATTGTTTTCAATTTTTTAGTTAGATAATGATAGTAATCTTTATAGTAAACACATAGCAATTACTATGTTAGGTTCTGCTCTGCGTTTTATATCACACCCAACCAAATTATATAAACATAAACATATTTGCACATGTTAGGAACTATTATTATCCCTAAACTATTATGATAATTTATTCTCATCCCTAGGTCCCCACAGATGAGGTTTTTGCCCCAAAGGATGCAAAATCGGTCCACGTACATTCCCAGAGGCCCCCCCACCCCCACCCCTCTGCCCCTCTTCTGGGGGCAGATCCCGCTGCACAGCCCACTGCACATCCGGAGCTAACGCGCGGAGCCGCACCTTCTCCGGCCGGCCCGGCCTCGCCCCGCCTCTGACGCAGCGTAGGAGGGGAGGCGCCTCTTCGGCCGGCGCGCTGACGTCACGCGCCCCGCGCCTCCGGCGCCTCTTCGCGCCTGCGCCGCGGGCGGAAGGTCGTCCCTGTGACCGGCTAGGGTTTTGGAGCTGTTGTCGCCATGTTGTCGGTCGCCGCTCGCTCGGGCTCGTTTGCGCCCGTCCTGTCGGCCACGTCCCGCGGGGTGGCGGGCGCGCTGCGGCCCCTGGTGCAGGCCGCGGTGCCCGCCACCCCGGAGTCTCCAGTGCTGGACGCGAAGCGGTCTTTCCTGTGCCGGGAGTCGCTGAGTGGCCAGGCCGCGGGCCGCCCATTGGTCGCCTCTGTGGGCCTCAATGGTGAGCGGGGCTCAGGGGAGCGACCTGGGGCTGAGGGGGTCCCTCTTTTCTTGCTCCTTCCAGCCCTGGGCCCAGGGAGCAGCCCAGGAGGGCGGGGGTCTGCGGGAATGGAGCGGAGCCCTGTTTAGGGATCGGGTTGCCTGCCGGGCTGGGTCGACCTTGGGCAGGCTTTTGTACCTGCCCGGGCCTCGGTGTCCTCACCTGTGCTCGGACGCCGCCGCATTATGTGATCTCAAGTGGCCACCAGAGCAGATTTTGTACTTCCAACGGCTAAGTTCAAGAACTTTGGGGTCTGACTTCTTGCAAAGTCTTAGAGATTTTGCTGCTTACAGGTCGTTTGCCTTTGGGCAAATTTCTAAACGTTTTCCCTCATAGGTGAAATGAATTAATGATGATACCAAATTCGTAGGTTGTATCGTAAGGTTCAGATGGACAAATTCTACGTTAAGCCATTAACACGTTTTGGGGGCACTTTATAAATTCTAAAGAAAAATGGAACTGCTTTTAATATTTGGAAAGTTGTCCCCGTCACTACTGCCGATCCTTTAGTGTCCTTCACTTTCATCACCCTGAATCCAAAAAAGAAAAAAAGAAACTACAGGCCCCAAGGTCATTTATAGTGTAGAGTAACAGCAGTGTTTTCAGGCATTGGGCCAAAGGGTTTTCACATGGTAATGAATTTCAGCCTCTAAACGAGCAATAGGCCCTAGAGAATGATGATACTTCCATTTTACAGATGAGAAAACATAACAAGAGGTGAAGTGACTTGCACAGGGTTACACATTGTGTATGTGATAGTGCGTGGATTTGAAGACTGACAGCCGTAAGCTCTAGGAGTGTATTTTACACCCTCTGTCAGCAGATCCTAGTTTATCTTTGATGCTTTGTTTCCTTTCTTATGCTCTGTTTGGAGATCCTGAATTGGCAACCTGTGGGCCAAGTGCCTGTAGTCTGCCTAACTTGCATAGTTTTAAAAAACGAGGGGTTTTTGGTGTCTCTTGGAATGCTTATAGTTGGCAACACTGGGCCTTAGTTTCCACCTGAGAGAAGTCTAGTGTGCTGTGCATTGGCTGCCCGCTTAGATGGAGCAAGTGCTTTTCCAGTTCATCACAGTCTTCATCAGGTCTACTTGATTCATTGTTGCCTCCTGCTTGGCCTTAACTGACAGTTGAATTGGTAACCTTTGCCTTCCCTGCTGACCACGTTGCCCCTACCCTTTTTATTCTGCCTTCATTCCCCCTATTCTCTACTTTTTAAATGATCCTCCCACTCAGTTTGCCACATTTACAAGTCTTAACCTATCCTTTCGATCTCAATTCAGGATCAGGTCAATAAAATTTTATATTTGCTGATTCCTTTATGTTTTATAGCACATAACACTTAACACTCTATTGCATTTACTCGTAATTCCTCTGACCTTGAGCTCCAAGGTGTAGAGAATATCTCCTTTATTTTTCTATCTCTCACAACCTCAGATTTTGCAAATAGTTGGTGCAAAATATTTGTGAATGAGTAAAGTGGCAATTTTTTAACGGGGCACCTGTGGGTTTTGGAGAAACTTCTCAAGCCAATTCTTTGGACCTGGAGGTGAAAAACAAAAGGGAGGAGAACATTTCGATAACAAAAGTGAAAAGTATCTTGGAATTTGTCAGATTCTAACGAGTTTCTTCTAAAAGTCAGAGGCTTACTTGAACTTTTCCAAGTACTGGTAAATAATAAAGAAACAAAGGAAACCCCTTTTCTGTCATCATGCCTTCAGCTTGTTGCTTAAATTCATATTAAAATCTCCTGTGTCAATGGTTTTTGGAAAGATAGTTAGTAGTGGGTGTGGGAAGGGGCAGTTGATCAGGAAAAGATCCCTGAATTGGGACACATTAGAGCTCACCTTAAACAAAACAAAACAAAATGAAAAATCCTGTTTTGTTATAATGTGTTAAAATTTCTGTTTCTAAATGATATTTCTATAAGTACCTGATTTTGCTTTGGAGCTAAATCTTTGCCACTAAAAGTCACACCTGATACAGTTCATGTAAATTATTTAAAGAATGATTTTTGCAATATGGCACTTTAATTTCCCAGTGTTCTTGATGGTGTAGCTCAATATGAAGTGTAACCTGCCAGATAGAATGGGAGTAGACAACTGGATTTCTTTTGCCAGCATATCTCAGGTGATAATGTCAAATACATTCTGTTTAGTGTTCCTGTACATTTCCTTGTGTACTGTAATATGGTTAAGGGTTGTAGATAACGGCTTTTAATGTAGAAGTTCCATCATCTTGTAGGTATGGTACATCTTTCCTGTATAATCCCAGACAGTGCTAAGGGAAAGTAATTCATATTTGATCCCAAATCCCCATCTACCCTGATAGATTAGCATTGAGTAGAAGTAGAGTAGTGTGTGATATAATGTCACTTTGCCATAGTTGTGAATCTCAGATAGTCACTACCTGTGTCCTGGTCCCCTCCAGAAAATGTTGGTTAGTCAGAAAACTGCAGAGCGATTCTGATAGGTTTCACCATTGTTTATGAATACTTATGGTTTCCATCAAGTTACTAACCTTGAGAACCACGTGAAATGTATTCCTTCCTGTAATGTTTGACTGCTCAAGAAAGTATGTTAGGATGAGACAGCCAATAGGTCAAGTAGAATTACAACTTATATGAAAATGTATTTTATAAGTACATTTTTCTTTTGGAAACAGTACATTTTCTGAATGTGAGGAATTTTTAATGTCCACTTTTCTTAAAAGGAAACCTTTGGCAGATTTCCTAAAAGGAATATACAGTGTACAGAGATTTGCTTCCTGAAACATACATAAATGTGATACCAATAGCATAATTTTTTGTCAGACTTTTAAAAATGGTTATGAGATAGAAGAACATACCTTTTGTTTAAAATAAACTGCTTATATCCAGAATACTGTATAAACAGTAGTTATTTGCTTATTAGATACTCATTTGGCATAAATGAATCTGGTGTATTTATGGCCTGCTGTAGTACTGTCCCAGTTGAGAGATCCATGGCAGTAAAAAAAGAAAGATAATGCCTCAACTCTTAGAGATGCTGTTGCCCTTCACTGAACAATTTGCTTTTTCCCCATACAATATTGAAATAATTGGGTTTTGTGGAGATTTACTTGATTTTGATAGCCATGTATTCTGATAACGGTGTCCTTTTCTGCCCATTAGTGGTTTTGCTTGAATTTATACCCCAAAGTCAAAAATCTCTTAAATTTTCTACAACTAAGGTTACCCTGTTTACAGAATGTTTATTTTCTTGTAATTTGTGTTTTATGACTTTTTAGTAGTTCTTTCAGAGAGCAGGTAGATAGAAATAAAGTTAGATACTTGGTTTAGTTAGACGGTCACACATCAGTTGAACAGGTGAACTAGATGAGGTTTAGGGTCTCTTCTAATCCACAGAGTATGGGAGATACTTGGCATAATTGCACAGGTTGTCTTAGGTTGAGTTTGGGGGGCTTAAAATACTGCTGTTTACAGTGCTATTTAACTTTTTAAACTTGATGCACTGACTTGTCATGAATCCTGAATCAGCAGTGTTCAATCAGGAGGAATTCAGTTTGTCAATATTATCTTATGATTTCATACCATTATGATAGGTAGTAGTTGACTTGATTTTGCTGGCACTGTCAACTTGACCATTTCTGAGACCAGTGAGTTCCATATTTCACGTTTTTATAATTTGATTTCTGCTTGTGAATTCATAAAGTTCTATTTCTGGATGTATGTCCCTTTCAGGGTACTCATCTAATTGTGTGTTTTAACCTTCTGTTTATCTTGCAGTCCCTGCTTCTGTTCGTTTTTCCCATACGGACATCAGAGTGCCTGACTTCTCTGACTACCGTCGTGCTGAAGTGTTAGATAGTACCAAGTCTTCTAAAGAGAGCAGTGAGGCTAGAAAAGGTTTCTCCTATTTGATAACTGCAACTACTACTGTGGGTGTTGCATATGCTGCCAAGAATGTCGTCTCCCAGTTCGTTTCCAGCATGAGTGCTTCTGCTGATGTATTGGCCATGTCGAAAATCGAAATCAAGTTATCCGATATTCCAGAGGGCAAGAACATGGCTTTCAAATGGAGAGGCAAACCCCTGTTTGTGCGCCATAGAACCAAGAAGGAAATTGACCAGGAGGCCGCAGTTGAAGTGTCCCAGTTGAGGGACCCACAGCATGATTTAGAACGAGTGAAGAAGCCTGAATGGGTCATCTTGATAGGTGTTTGCACTCATCTTGGTTGTGTACCCATTGCAAATGCAGGCGATTTTGGTGGTTATTACTGCCCTTGCCATGGGTCACACTATGATGCATCTGGCAGGATCAGGAAGGGGCCTGCACCTCTCAACCTTGAAGTTCCCACATATGAGTTCACCGGTGATGATATGGTGATTGTTGGTTAGAGACCTGGACTCGAGTCATTGGCTTCTCTCAGTCTTCATGTCACCTCAGAAGAGTTATTTGAGAACAAGCCTTCTGTACTTGTAGTTGATTTGAAATATTTAAGAATTGCCAATAATGTATTTGCAAACATGTGAAGTAAATTGAGTTTAATGTTCAATACTTTCAAGCATTCACCTAATAAAGCCACTGTTGAACATTGTTATGCTCAGTCAGAGACTTTAAAGGTGCAATGTCTTTGATAGTTAATTCTGATTAAAATTACAGACTGGTGTACAAGATATTTGTGAAATCTGTAATTGACTTTCTCATTTATTTCCTTTCTTTACGTCAGGAACGCAGATTCTACAGAGCTCATGGTTAGGATGAGGTAGAATTAGCTAGTCATCTCCAAGACCTGGGAGATGTTTTTGGCATTGGCAGAAACAGTAGTATCCAAGTTGCCTTTCTGTTCTTTTGCATACCTGGCTGTGTGGGGGGGACACCCCCACCCCGCACGCAAACTGTATGATGATGTTGGAATGATCTATGGGAAAGAGTCCTGAATGAGGTGTTAGCTGCTCTAAGAGTTCGTTCTCAGCTGTAGCTGATTTCCTGCCTGTGTGGCAAGCCAGGAGATTTTACTAGTCAATGGGAATAAGCTAGTAATTAGAATTCTTAGTTTTAAGAGGCATTTGGTGTGGGATATTTCCCGAGGGAGGCTTTCCAAGATGGAAGTGCCTCTCTGTTATTTCCTTCCTCTGGTATGGGTATTCGTGCCCCCCCAAAGCTCCTGCATCCACTCTGTCAAGAGGCAGAGGATAGTGCACCTGAGACTTAATACTGTCTTCCTGTGAAAATGATCCTGCTGGTTTCGTTTCTTTGATGATTACATTTGAGGTGTTTCTTCCACTTAGATTTGTAGTCACCACTTCTCACTGTGAAGTGAGAGTGGGTTTAGAGAGAGATACCAGAATTAACACCTTTCTGCCTCTTGCTTCCAGTTACACAGGTGAAATAAGGTGATATTCTTCCTGGGACCTAGGAGTGGGCTCTGTGCTTTGTTGAGAATCAAAGCTACCTTAATCGGTTTGTCTTGCCCTAAATGCTGTTTTAGGGGTGAGTTAATAATGTACTCCACTGGGTCCTCCTTGTGAGAGCACACATGCATTTGTAAAATAGTAAACAAAGACTAAATGCTTAGGTCTGCCAAAGGGAAATGACCTTCCAGTCTTCCATTCTTGAAATCAGTAGCTAAGTATATCAAAAAAGAAAATAACCAAAGTTTCTAGGCTTTTGATACTAGTAGTTGGTTCGTTTTTACTATTCTATGAAGAATGTTAGCAGGTATGATAAATGGGACACCTAACAATAGTATGTTGTTCTGTCTCCATAAAATGACATTTAGGTTCAAATACTTAGGTAGAAATCTGAGACAAAACATGCCAAACGTGGCTAATTTACTACTTTTTGATCTGTGCTCCACTTTAAATGGAGGACTTTCTGATCTTTTGAGCATATATAGATTACCAAGGAAAAATTAGTGTTGTTTAATTTAAAAGTAGGGGAATTGTTTCATTGTGTATGAGCAATATATGTATGTAGTATTTGGTATTAATATTGGGAGCATCTTAACGTGAAGTTTTTTCCCCGTGATTATATCATGAAGCCAAGAGAAGTTGGACATTTTGCTTGTTTATCATTGTGATGAAGATTCTGTTTTTCTAGTACTCATGAAAATCATCTTACACTTTAAAATCATCTTAACACTTTTTTCTCTACTCATGCTACTTGTTAATGGTGCCAGTTGCCCACAACTTGAATTGCTATTAAGTAGCTGACATTTTGAGGTTGAATTCTAAGTGGCTACTTTCTTTTAAAAATGGCACCAGGAGCTATTCATAACTTCTTCAGGATACACTAAGGAACTTTGCTGGTATATATTTTACATTTGTAAAGTTATTACTTAGTGGTATGATAAAAATGCAACTTTTTGAAGGTGAATTAAACGTGGAGTGGAGACCTTGAAGCATTATTGCATGAATTCTGAGAACCCAGCAAGTTTGGGTCTCTTGTCATCCTACATCAAAAAGTAGTTTTGTTCTTTTGTACATAATTGAAGCTGCTGAGCTTCCAATATATGCACAGTTGCTAGCTGCATGAGTTTGGCAGCTGTGGGTTGCATGTGGAGGTGTGTAATGAAAGTACTAGATTAGAATTTAGGGTTTTCTGGCTCTGCCATTGCCTAACCATGGAACCCTGGGCCTGGCACTTAATCTCAAAACAGTTGTTTTACCATCTGTAAAACTAGGGTGGTTGGGCTAGATTTCTAAGAGTCCTTCCTACTAAGATTGTACTGAGGGGATTGAGCCCCTCAATCCCACTCCTTTAATAATAGGAACTGGTTTTCTTAGATAAGTATTTGTTGTGTTTGCAGTACTTGGTTTTACAATAAAGAGATCCAAACTCAGGTAGCATTGTTCTGATCTGCAGAGCCAGCCTTTCATAGTAGTGCTCAACCGGGGCAGCACTGCTAGTCTGTGGGGTGTTTGTGGCCGTTTGTCACAATGATTGGAGGGCGCTACTGGTACTGAGGACTGGTGGCAGGGTGAGAGAGCAGGATGCAGTATGTTCAGTTGAGGGAGACAGGTCTACACACTGAAAATTGTGCTGCCAAAAATGTCAACAGCACCACTTCCCTGTAGAGAAATACCGTATTTCCTCCCACCTTGAAGTGATACCTCAAAATAGTTTTATGATTTCGTATTTGAAATGTCAAAGCACTCACTACTGCATTAGAGGCTACGTGGTAGTGGAGGATAAAAATAGGAAGCTTGCTGGTCCCCGGATGTGTTGCAGGCGCTCTTTGCTGGAATTGCTGTGTTTGGTGGACTGCCTATGTCTTTCATGGTATTTTGACTGATGATGTTTAACTCAAATCCCAGTATCCCATTTAGTTTTTAAAAAAAGGCTTTGTTCCACAAAGTGACTGGATAAGCAAAATTACTTGATACTGCTTTGCTAGATGGATGGGTAGAGCAGACCGGTGTTAGCGTTTTCATTATTTTGCTGAAACAAAATCCTAGGTATTACGGAGAAATGACTTCAGACAAATAATAGAAACCTGACCAGTTGACACCCTGACATCAGATCATTAATGTGCTGCTTTTTACTGGGAATGAAGATTGGGACAATCTTAAGGATCCATGCCTCATTATGCTTTAAAAGAGTGGTTTTAGAAAATACCCTTTAAAAGAAATTTTGTTTGTTAGAGATAACACCAAATTTATCATGGTCTTTCTGAGCATACCTTTGGAAAATCTGTCTCTGACTTAGTTGGAGAGTGTTGAGAGCATTTGTCCTATGGCTTGGGATCAGAATGCACCCAAATTTTTCTAAACAATGGAAGCATACTGCTACCTGAATGTCCGAAGTAATTCTTCATTTCCACAGTGCTGAAACTGTCGTTTTCTGTTTTCATGTCATTTAAATATCACTGCATTTTGTACATTAACCCAAAATAAATGTCCATATTTTTCAGAATGATATCCTTGGCTCACTGTTCTAACCCGCTTTCATCACTTTGCTGTAACTCCCCTGGATCACTTCCCTGAACTTCATACTCTCGCTCAACTGTGTACTTAGCATCTGTGCATGGATATTGCATTAAAACCTTGAACTCAAAATGCCACAAGGAAAGGAAGTCCTCTCTTTCCCCAAAGCCATCTTCATTGCAGTTGGCAAGCTAAAACTCTTTAGTCTTCTGCCCCCTTTCCCATTACCCCCTCTCCCTGGGCCCATACCAATCCCCAAACCCGCTAATTGTGTCTCCTTAATAAAACGGGTCATTACTGTCTCTGCGACCTGTAGCTGTCTGATAATGGCAAACTTTCTGAGCACTGGCTCCTAACGACTAGGCTAAGTATATATATGTGATCTCATTTAAAACTCAAAAAATCCTAGTAGATAATGTTGCTATTCCGTTTGTAGAAAAATTGAGATAGCTGGTAGCTTGGTGGAGCCAAAACTTTATTTTAAACCAGGGAGTCTTGAGTTCAGAACCTGTATTCCTGATAACTATATATATATATATGGTTATATATATAAAATTTTTAATCACTATATATATATATATATATATATATATATATATATATATATATATATATAATTTTAAAAAGCCTCAATTAAAGCACTATACCAGTGCCTTGTCGATTGCCTGGTTTAGTGTAGGAAGATACCATACTGGTCTTTCTTCTTTCTGCCAATCCTGTCCCTTAAAACCCATCCTCCATATAGTTGCCCTAAGAGTATGGGCTTGGTTCCTGGGTTCCAATCTCGGCTCTGCTATTTCCTAGACGTGTGATCTGATGTAAATTATTTACACTTTCTGTGCTTCTCCTCATCTGAAAAATAATTCCCCCATGGGGTTTCTTTAGGAATGAATACATTCTGTAGGTCAAGAGATGCCTTTAAAACTCCTTAGCATGGAACTTCTACAAGGTCCTACTTAACATGCATCCCATCAGTAAACCCTTTGCTCCAGTGACACAACTTGCTTGTTGCCTATATTCTCCTTTCTCTTAATCTCTTCCTACACTGTCCGCCTTGGCTTCATTCCCTTTTCCCCCCTTCTATTAGCTAGGCTGTCCTCTTTGAGATCTAGTGTGCTACCCTGCACCTAAATCGCATTGACTTTTTCAGCAAGTTTGCCCAAAATAACCAGGACATACCATTTAGATATTTATATTTTCCTCTATTATACAGTTCATTCTCTTAGTCTGTGTCCCCATCACCAGACTGAGGGGGCTGGGGCCATGGCAAGTACTTAGCTATGGAGTTGAATTCTGAATAGGAGAAAAAAATGAAATTCTGAGTGACATTATTTGAAAGGAAAAATTTCCAGGGGGTACTTTGTAAATATCAGCTCTAACGTTTTAAAAAATAGAACAATCATGTAATGTCTGTATATTTTATCTTTCTAGGACTTTAGTTCAGAGGAGGAATGAACTATTATTGTAGTACAGGATATTTTGGATTTAAATTTAGACTTTATTCCCAGAAGAAAAATTGAATAAATAATGAATCCAAGATCTTAAAGAAAACCTGGTATTGTTTTACTTTATTTCCATTTACTTCATAATGAACATTCTTCCAGCCATGTAAGATTTCAGTGTCAAAAAGACTGTCCTTTAGTATTTTATTTTCAGCACTTCGAAGTACAATTGGTATCACTTCATTACTTTTACCATTTCATCTCTCTTTTATTTACTTTCCATCCTGGGATTTAGGAAGGGAACATTTTGCCTACAAGGGAAAAATATTAAGCAGGTGAATTAATCGATTCTTCGAAGCAGGAAGGATTGTGGATTATTTTCTCTTTTTTAATAGTCAGCGCTACTTATTGGGGTTAAAATGTCCTAAGCATAGTACTGCCGGGAATGCATACTTAGAGGAGACTTAAATACAGCAGAAAAGAAAGACTATTCAAGTACTTGCTTATGTGAATGCTTATAAAATTTTTATTATAGATTGGAAGTCTCTGGCAGGAGTACAGAATTAAAATTAATTTTGTGAAGGGCTTCAACATTTTTGTAATAATTCCTCCATAATGATCAACGCAAGACTGGTGTATCAGTGAACTGAAAATCCCAAGTTCAGTAAACTACACTTGATATTTTTGCATCTATTGTCCTAAACTTGGGCCAATTGCAGTGCAAAAGCTCACAGTCATCTGACTTTTGAAATCCTTATCTGAACAGAATATTTGCGAAGGTAAGAAATGAAAGTTTTTAAGTGATAGGTTTTTCATACATTTTTAGCAGGGCAAACAAAACCTTGACTCCTTAATGAAGGATGGTGAGGGGGAAGTTAATGCATTTCACGTAATTGTCCAGTCTAGGATGTGTCTGAAATCTGCTATTTTCTTTTTCTGTGTGTGGCTAAAATTCCAACTCATGCCTCTTCCTGTATCTGAGGGAATATTTACTTTCTTGGCTCTCCCCACAAGTCATAGTCTCTCATGGCCCCTGTTTGGCCTTTAGGGGGGACAGTGCATTCCAAAGACCCCAGCTGATCTCAGTAGATGAAAATCAGGTAAGGGTCCATATTCCCCTTAGTCAAGGATTATCTATTAGACCCTTTTAAATATAAATCTCAAATGAGATAAAAGGTGTGAAAGGCATATAAATGTAAAGCATATGCAAATACTCGAAGCATTATTCAGTGAGGTATACCAGTGAGGCCATAGGTGACTGATTAGGTATGTAGAAAGATAATTTAGCTGGAAGTATGCCCCTATTCAGATTGTGTTTCATCAGTTGAAGAATGGTATTAACCTGGAAGTTCAGATTTGCATATGTACATGGTTTTGATACTAACAGAGCAAAGTGAACTTATCCACAGTAATGGTTCACATTGTAGGGGTTTTCTTTCATTTAACATTGAAGGATTATTACTAATTGAATCCAAAAGCTGGTTATTTGAAAAGACCAAGAAACTAGATAAAGCTTTTGTTAAGTTTGATAAAGGAAAAAATGAGACAGCAAAAATGTAAGATGAGGAAAGAGCTGGCCATCATCACTTGATGGAAGAGATTAATAATTAAAGTTTTAAAGCTTTGGGGATACAGAAGATTTACTAACAAAATATAAAATGCCAAAACTTACCCAAAAGTAGAAACCTTGAATATATCAATTAGCAAAGATCAAAGTAAGTATAAAAAGTTACCGTGACTGGTTAGCTTCGTATGAGTTCTATATGATACTTAAAAGATAATTCTAATGCTGTTTAAACTTCACTATTCTAGATCAGAGCTTCTCCAGTCTTACTGTGCACACAGTTCACCTGAGAATCTTGTCCATTATGCATATTCTGATTCTGTAGGTCTGGGTTAGGGCCCAAGATTCTTCATTTCTAACAAGTTCCAGGAAACGAGCTTGACAACCAGGTGATGTCCGTGCTGTTAGTCCACGAAGCATACTGGGGGTTAGCAAAATTCTGTACTATGGGGGTGTGGCGTGAGGTGGG